TATTTTTTTTACTTAATAAAGTAAACCATTTTAAAACACTGATTAAAACATATATTAATATGATTGGTGCAGTAAGTAATAATAATAAGAATACTAATTTGTAGTTCTAGTCACAGTTTAGGCTATACTGATCGAAATTTTAGTAGCTAATTTAATTTTAAGCATTTTAAAGCATATTTAAAAATTTATTTATGATCATTAGAAACAAATTCAAAAGAGCGTTCAAATTTTGGACTAAGTAATGTAGATATATTGTAAACGTCTCATGTTTTCCCCCATATAGAATTTCATGAGTTAACTGTATAGCCTACTAAAGTTGGTGCAACACTGAATGAATGTATAACGTTACCTATTGCTGCTTATTCCGGAGTACATCTTGGGACGCTCAAGCATGTCGCCAGTGCGCTTAAAAGTATTAAAAACGTGAGCATTTTGCTGCCCATAAACTGAATGATGTGGCAGTCGCTACGACTACAAAGTTAATCATCTTCCGAAAAGTCCAGAGAAGGGAGAGACTGCACGAGCAGTCGAGCACCGCTGCCAAATAATCAAATTACAGTAAAAAGTTTCTGAGTCTGGGACCAACTGTAGTTACAGATCTTTAGGAATGCCTGACTTCACATTTACCCCCTTTGTGGTAAAGACATATTTCAAAACGCCTTTTTATTTTCTTAATGTGAGTTTCTTGTCATCTTCAAGAATTAAAGTCTACCTATGTGTGGACAGTTCAGTTGCCTGGGCGGTTTTCAGAAAGGCAGGTGTCCACCCTGGCTATATAAAGCCCCACTCTTCACTGTTTAAGACCAAAGTGTAGTACATACATGAGACATTACAGTTTTTTTTTTCAATTGCTAACAAGCATTTACCAATACTTACAGTACTTTTTCTAAACTTTTAAATTTTTTCTCGATTGCTTAAACATATTTCTTGAAATTGTGACTCCTTTTCTCGAAACACAAATCCTTAACTTCTCACTCAATTCCCCATACTTCCTATTTTCAGGTCAAAATGAAGCTCTCCACTTAAAACTATTCAATCTTGCTGAAAAAAAAACTAACTTTGCCCACAGACATGACACACAAGCCCTCAGAAAGACATACCAGTGAGATCAATTCATAACACTGTTGCAAAAACCTTCTTTTGGCAATCAGGTATAATTTTACAGCTCAATGTCTCTTACAGTATACAACATAATTAGAGCACATACATGTTACAGTAAATATAGCAGATACAGTGAAATTCAACAATAAGCTTTGCAGTAAGAAAATATTATTTTCATTACACTGCTGTAAAGAGATCTTACAGTACAGTAGATGAAAAGCACTAGAAAGGAAAAGGTCAAATACCAAAGAATTGCATATGAACACAACAGAATATAGAGTCATCTCTTAGTTCTGCAAAAATACAGTACATGTAAGAAGTACTTGGTTACAAATCAGTTCAGCAGTTATGAGTTTGAGGGTGTACAACTTGTTCTTCAGTATTTACTGTACATATATATAAAAAGTAAAAGTTCTCTAATCTGAAGTACTGCTACTGTTCTGTCATTATATTTTATCTGTAAGTAGTATTGAAAGCCTGAAATTGAACCTTTTGGCCAGCTGACCTCATGCACAAGAACATGATCAACTACAGCTCTGTGTATTTCATCAGGAATGACGAACCCGTCCCCTTCAGTTTTCTTTTCCCCTCCTCTTCCTCTTTGTCTCCCACTAGTAGGATTCATTTTCCAAATCACATAATCAGCTGTGCTCTTGTTCATATCATCCTGAGATTCTGACTGCTGTGTCATCAGTTTTGCTACTTAATGTTCACACATGGATAAATGTGTGCTGTATGAGTTAATATTGTGATTCTTGAGGTAGTTACATTGTGTGTTTGTGTTTTCTAAATGAGAACATGGTTAAACCTGTGCAAAATGATGCCATTCTTGTGTAGAGTTTTGCAGAAAACACTGAGCAAATTGGAGCGTTTGTGAAAACAGGTGAAATGTGTTAAAAGTTTTGAGAAACGTGTCTTTGTTTTAGGAACTGTATGAATGGTTTGGAAAATTGTGCCAAACGAATCAGTTATAGTGCGTTAGCAATCAAGAAAAACTGTAACACAGCAACACACCTACATCACACAATTAGCCAAATAGTTAATTTTCTGGCCAAAACCACATTTTGCTAAATAAATACAAACTCTACATTTCAAAATGCTGAATACGTTTTTCTACATTACTAACTCTATCAAAACACAGCAAACCTGATTCAAAATTGAGTCTTTCGGTCAAAACATTAGCACTACTTTTCTATCCAATAGAAACATATAGTCAATCATAGCAGTGACTGTCAAAATACTTACAGTTTGATGGCTTTACAAAAACTGCATTTCTTGTCATGTTTCAGTTCTACCTGCACATAGACAATATAAAAATCCATTGTTTTTTGTAATTTAGTTACCTTCAACAGAAACCCATTTTACATTTTTAAGTGTTGAATTTGTTCATTCTTGGCAACAGTCTAAAATTCAATGAGTCATTATAGAAAAAAATAAGGGTCCCTATGCAGAAATTCAATTGTAACCTTGATTGAAATTGTTTTAGTGGGTGGGGGTTGGATGTGGATGGTGCCCCATGGTAGCTGATGCCAGTGATCAACAAAAATTCCAACATACAGGGCCTTTGGCTACTATGCAAGCTTGTTTCTGTCACTGCATAAAAAAGTAAAAACGGTAATTGTGACCTTTTTATCTCACAATTTGGACTTCTATTCTTGGAATTGCGAGTTGGAATTGTCTTGCAATTCAGACTTTATCAGAAGAAAAGAAAAAAATTGCAAGAAAAAAAGTCAGAATTGTGAGATAAAAAAGTCACAATTACGCTTTACCCTTTATATTCCATGGCAGAAATAAGCTTTCATAGGTTCCACGTGTGTAAGGGGGTAAACAAACAAACACACATAAAAATGCACAGTCCAGCACACATTCTTACTCCTCTTCCCTACCTATTCTTCTCCATTTTTCTGATCCAACTACTCTCCCAGGCATTATTTTTTCTCCCTGATATTTTCTGTTGTTCTGCATCCACAAAACTGTATCCACAAGACCCAAAGAGGTCTTTTTTACTCTACTGTATGTTGATGTGATAGAAAGAGCATCAACACCTGATTGTTCCTACAACTGAGACTGGAATCAGCTATTTATAAATATTTCAGTGATCTGTTACTTAAAAAAAATGCTTATCAGTTGTTACAATATTTTATATAGAGAGATTTTTTTCAATACTTTTGAGCTGCTGTTGTTGCAAAAGTAGAGGCTTTACACTATATTTAAAGTTTGGAACATTAGGTCTTCATTTCTGTCATGCTGTGTTTAAGCATTTGTAAAAAAAGATAAGAAAGATCCATGATTTCGGTATGGGGTAAGCTTGTGTGAAAAGAACATTAGCATTTTAGAAACGTGTTAATTGACTGAATATTGTGTGAAAACAACATGAATTGTGTTAACGGTATGGTCACAACAGACAGATGTTGTGCTAATTGTGTGTAGAGTTTTGAAAATGTGACTACAGATTGGACAAAGAGATGTTAGCAATTGGAAAAAACTGTAACACAATATAATATGCAAAAAAAGCATGTAAGTTATTTGCGTAAGAATCCGATCATTATTCTTTGGAGCTGTTATAAAGCAAAAAGAAAAAAAGTAGTAGAATTGGAGAACAAAAGTTGTTACTTTTGTTTTCATTTGAACATATTTTATTGTTTGTTGTTAGTACATATGTTATAGCTCAAAGAGCACAGGGGTCAAAGAACAATGCCTGCATTGTGGATGTAGTATGTCTGGGAATGTACTATTTATACACCTGCACATTTTTTATGATTTCATCTTTATGGAATTCCAAACATACACTGTAAAAACTATTAACTTAATGTGTTGAATTAAATTTTAAGAATGACTCAAGCTGACTGTACTTGACTACAGTTTGATGAGGTCAACAGATGAAGATAATACTGAATCAAACAGAAACATAATTTTTAAACTAGGGCTAAATTTCACCTTTCAGCATTACAACACCTTACCAAGACAACACTGGAGTGGCTTTAAGTTTTAATGACCTTGCGGCCCAGCCAAAGGCTGCACTAGGCAGAATAAAGTTCTGAATATTTAATTATTTAATTACATGGGAGATGTAGGTTTGTCTTCATGCTATTTAATGTACTATTATGGTTTGTTTGTTTGTTTGATGTGTATGTGTGTGTATGTTTATGTGGTTTATGAGGACACAAATTTGTATAATAACATGGGTATGACATAGGTATTACAACGAGAAGGTGATTTATGAGGACATTTTCAGTGTCCCCGTAATTCAAAAGGCTAATAAATAATTCAGAATGAGTTTTTTTGAAAATCTAAAAATGCAGAATGTTTCCTGTGAGGGGTAGGTTTAGGGGTAGGGTTGGTGTAAGGCAATAGAAAATACGGTTTGTACAGTATAAAAACCATTACGCCTATGGAGAGTCCCCATAAACCATAAAAACAAACCTGTGTGTGCTTGTGCGTGTGTGTGTGTGTGTGTGTGTGGTCCTGTTATTCCTTACATTATGGGGACCAAGTGTCCCCACAAGGATAGTAATATCAGTCATTTTTGGCAGCTTAGAAATCATACAGAATTAAGTTTTATGAAAATCTAAAAATGCAGAAACTTTTCTCTGAGGGGTAGGTTTTAGGGGTAGGGTTAGTGTAAGTGTCCCCTCAATAAAAATATTGAGATAGGACCGAAAGGGCACTTTAGCACTGAATCAACCTAAATCCATTCATTTTCAACAAAACTAAATGTTATGGGTTAAATCGGGTAGAAATAGCTCTTTGTGCAGGTCATCACTTTTTACAATGATAAATACCTATACAAATCTTACTCTTCTACTATAATTTTATTTCAGAATGTACATTATAATACACATTACAATACTATGTTGTGAATAAAGAGTCATACATTTATAACAGAGTGTGCAAAACTTCATGGTGATCCAGTGATTGGCAAACGTTTTGAACTTTATAAGGTTTTAACAGAGAGAAATGACACACTGTAAGCCATTATTTCAGAAATTATAGGCAGTTTGGTGTGCCATTTAGCCACTGACTAACCAAACCACTGCTGAGCACATATTTCTGAAGGTGTCAGTTGTCAGCCTTTTTCACCTGCTCTAGTGACAGTTATCTTCCATCAGCTTGTTAACCCTTTGTGAGTAGCATTCATTTTCCATGCATGAGGGACTGCTGTGACCAGAAAGTGTGTTCCGTCCCAAAATCCTGTTGCAAACTCCAAAAAGGGCCTTTTTATATTGTTGCCGTAAGAGGGAGTAGACGAAAGGGTCAGAGGCAGCTTTGCTGTACACTAAGCACTTGCTCATGATCCCCCAATAATGGTCGATTTTTACTGAAGGAGACAGTTCAGTCATTCTAGGAGAAAAGAATGATCTATATTATTATAGAAACATTTAATATGGCATTTGTATTTAAGAAATAGACGATTCATGGCCATGTTGTAAACAAATTACTATAAATTAATGTTTTCTGGCACGCAGTGTAGTAGTCGAATTAATATAGAGGTTTATTTAATAATTCAATTACATAATCGGGCCTACTTGCAACAAACTGTATTATTATTATTATTATTATTATTTTACAGGGCAGTAACAGTGTAAATGTTCAATATCTTTATCGTATTCCTTGCTTTACGGTATATATGTAAATATACAGAAACTGGCTTTCAAAAATAACCCACTCTGAGAAATATACCTAGCCCCAGTCTACCTTGTACTGTTATACATATAAACACTTACTACTGCGATTGAATTACCATAATATCTGTTTCCATAGACACTAAATCATGTCATATGTAAAAATGTTTTATAATTATGTATTATTATCTCTCAGAGAAATATTTACTGAAGTAAAAAAAATGTGACTACTGTACTACTGTAGACATAAACACTTATTATTGTAATATCTGTTCTCGCAGGTAGCGAGATGTCAAAAGTATGTGCAAAATTTTTCGAATATTTATCATTATTATTCTATTACTTGTATTATCTTATGCTCTCCATTCCACTAAAATGAATTGTAATAATGTAATACCGTGTTATGACATAGGGGGCGAAGCACAGGACGAACGACCCGATGAATATGCCGATTTTCTTGGTGGCCCTCTGTCTCCTTTTCCTCTGCTCCAGTAAGCACCGTTGTTTCACACTAAAAAGTTTCAAAGAACAAGTCACGAATACACATGCTTATAATATGTCAAGTAAAATACTGTAATGTTTACTTCATAATGTTTTACATGTACCTTGGGTGAATGTCGACAAGTAGTAAAAGCGTCTGCACCGTTATAACATCTATCCTCTTACAATGGAAGCGCGCCACTTGTAGCACTTTCAGGTAGGTAAAGCAAAGGATGAAAAGCGAGAGGGCGAAAGTACATGCGTGGAACACCGCGGTGAACACCATGAAGTGAACACGGCTCTCAGCATCTTCTCTCAGGTGCAAGGTGCATGACGCGTACGCGGGACTGTAGTCGACCCAGGACAGCAGGACACTAGTGAGCGAGAATGCGAGCGAGTGAAGCCAAGCATAGCTGACCATTAGTGCGGCATTCTTGAGTCTCATTTTGCTGGAATAAGTCAAAGGGAAAACCACGGCTATCCAGCGGTCAATGCTGAGAGCTGCCATGCTCAACATTGTGTTGGTAGTCAGGAAAGTATCCATAAAACTCACTGTATAACAAAAGTGGTCGCCAAAAGGCTTTTGGTGTTTTACGACCCCAAGTAGGGTAGAAGGCATGTTGAGAACAGCGATGAAGATGTTGCAGAATGAGAGGTTCATGATGAAGATCCCCGGCACCTGTGAACGAACTTGTGCGCTGCAGGTGAAACATAGTAACACTAGCAAGTTCGCCACGAGTGACACAACTGCAATCACAACGATGAGCGACTCTAGAAATATATCCAACAAGTTCATGTTCCTGTCCAATGTCAATAGCTGCTTTGTTGTGAGTTTTTGTCCGTGATCTCTCTTTGGGTCCTCGGTGGCTCACCAATGCTGCTTTCCATTCTGCTTTGGTAAAAATGAACGCCGTTAAGTATCGGTCATTGTCGAGGAGTGCTGTCCAGTGTGCTGAAAAGACCTTTAACGGACTTGATTATCATCACCTCAATTGAACTGAATCCCGTCGTCCGCATCTACGGAGTTAAAATCTTAATCTTTGTATGATTTTAAATTAGGCACCGTAATACAACACGTTCGACAGTAGAAGGTGAAGAGAGAGAGAGCGCAGTCGGTGCGCGTACGTGCTCATGCGTATTAGAATTCTCTGAGCGCTCCCGGCTCACGTGCAGCCAGTTTATTGCATGTGACGTTTGCTTGACAAATTGCAGTTTGGCCAGTGGGAGAGATTGTCGATGGAAGATATGAGTTATTTTAAGCCCAAGGAAGTTGCAAACTCTGTTCAAAAGTAAACGAATTCATGTTATACAGTTGGGCTCTGTGACGGCTTTCAAAAATAAAAATAAAATAAAAAGAATATCCCAGAGCTTACAGAAGCTTGATTATATACACAATAGCGAGAGTAAAAGCATCACAAGTAATGGGCACGACTCCAGCCCATCAGTTAACGTCTTGTGAAGCAAAAATCTATGTAACTGTAAAAAACAAATCCATCATTAAAGTGGTTTAACTTTGCCTTCGCTTCTGGCCAAAATACCAGTCCATATATTCCATAATAATGCTTCCTCCACTGATAAAGTCCATCCCCTGTTGTCCTCTCACATCAAAAGTCACCAATTTATTTGTTTATAACTGTTTTCACTTGTAAACAGTGATTGATATGTGCATATTTCTCTCCTCATTCAGATGGGAAGCAGCGGTTTTAAATTAAAAACGTCTTACAATGGATTTGTTTATTACAAACACACAGCTTTTCACTTCACAAGATGTTAGTTGATCTATTTGATTCATGTGGATTATTGTGATGTTTTTATCAGCTGTTTGAACTCTCATTCTGATGGCACCCATTCACTGCAGAGGATCCATTGGTGAGCAAGTGATGTAATGCTACATTTCTTTAAATCTGTTCCGAAGAAGAAACAAAATAATCTACATCTTGGATGGCCAGAGAGTGAGTACATTTTTTAATTTTTAACTATTGCTTTTAACAGTCTGGTACCTAATAAAATGGAAATAAACAGCTAAAATTAGCCACTGATCAGTCAAAGATTGAGAGATAGACCTACTGTAATTTTTATATTGCATATTGTATCACACCATCATGACTCAAGTAAATAGTACAGTAAAGACTTTTTTTATATATGTACACAACATTTTCCATTTCCTTTTGCATTTCTTTCTTTCCTGGGAGAACAAATGTGAAACACCTGTTTATTTTATACGCATATGCAAATACACACACGACTGCCCTCAACAGGTAAAGCCAGGGCTATTTTTTCATCATCACCATGGCAACTTGTAAAGTTATTTTGGACTCTTTCTTTTTCCATCTTTGAGGTTTTTTCGCTCCTTCTTCTTTAATCATCAAGGACTTTTTTTGAAACACATCTGCCATTGTAGTATTTTGCGGCTGCTGGTGTGTGTACTATAGTGTACAATGGGACTAAATATTCCTCTGAAGGATTTTCTTTCTTGTAGCAAAATGACCATTGAAGATTTAAAGATTTAAAGAAATGTCTCTCAGTATTCATTGAAAACTGAGAGAAAACCAGTGTCTGACTCTACTTAGTTAAACTACAAATCACATAAACAAAAACTGCTATGTTTGCAGGTGACTTTTGCGAAATACATCCAAAACTAAAGTTATAATCTCAGTTTGGTTAAATTACCTTACATCAGATACATTCAGTGTCTGTCTTCTTCTGTTAACATAACTTCTGTTATGTTTTAAGATGATTTCAAATAAGAGTCCTCTGTATTCAGAGCCAGGTGGTGGTGATGATGATGATGACCGTGCGGTGCAGGTTAAAGACTCACTGTAAAAAATGACCGTGAAGATTCCTCTGAAGGATTTTCTTTCTTGTAGCAAAATGGCCATTGAAGATTTAAAGATTTAAAGAAATGTCTCTCAGTATTCATTGAATACTGAGAGAAAACCAGTGTCTGACTCTACTTAGTTAAACTACAAATCACATAAACAAAAACTGCTATGTTTGCAAGTGACTTTTGCGAAATACATCCAAAGCTAAAGTTATAATCTCAGTTTGGTTAAATTACCTTAGTGGTGCTGATGATGAATTGCCAGGTGGTGGTGATGATGATGATGACCGTGCGGTGCAGGTTAAAGACTCACTGTAAAAAATGACCGTGAATTTAACGGTAAAAGACTGTAAAAATGCTACAGTAAAAACCTGTTAAATGGTTAACGGTAAATTCCCCTACTATATACAGTGAAAAACTGTCATTTAAACGTAGCTTTGGTAACATAACATGGTGTAATCATACTGCATATTATATTATGTTGTGACACAGAATACAACTGAAAAATGTCTCTGTTGTGATTAAATTGGTGGGGAAAAACAAATAAAACAGATTACAGCACTATGTTCAGAAGTTCAGACACTGAGATAATAGGTGTAATGCTCTCGTGATATATTTAGCTATTTGCTCTGATCATAGTTATTTTACAGTATGTTGATGGAAAACCTCTTTAGAGTGCAGAGGAAGTGCCCTGTGGTAAAGAAGGAAACCTTTTTGTGTTCACATGTTCAGACCCTGGGAGGACGTTACGCAATAAAGTGCTGATGCCAGAGCCACTTAAGATGTCAACAGTCAGGGCATACCTTGGCCTTTCTTTCCCTCTCTATTTTCATATATATAATAAGAGAGAGAGATTACATAACAGGATGTCTAGAAGTCAGGATGCGGTTGTTTATTTTGCATATGGAGGTGTACTGTACTGTACACTGTGAGCCAGAAAACGGAATCACATCCACATGGACACCTCTAGCCATTTTTTCTGCACACAAAAGTTTTGTTTAATAAACATTATTGTGGGGAATTTACCTTACCGTACCTTTCTGCAGTTACATTAAGAAAAATATAGTATGTCTAACAAGCCATTTTCCCCATGACAACTGCTGGTTGGTTCCCACAATAGTGATTTCAGATTTTACCATCCTTGTGGGAATAGTAATGTAGGAAAACATGACACACACACACCATATTGTCATTTATTGCATCAACAACAGTAATAAACCTACATTTGGTCTGATCTAGGATCACATCTGATGCTATATTTATGTCTTTCTCAAATTAAGCGGCCTAATAAAATGTCATAGAATCAACAGACTGTAAGCTGTATCTAACCAAAGTAAACCATGACTTCCAATATTACACCCCATATTTATCAAAGGTACGATAAGAATACTATAATTATGTTTGAATTTACTGTAAACAGACTTTCATTTTCTTTGTATATTAAAAGCAAGTAATGTAAATTTACATGAAAACACATATAAGAACAAGAGTAGAAGAGGAAGAGAAGACTGGTGGTTCTGCTATTGCTTCAGTTATTTTAATAGGATAAGACAGGTTGACCATCCACCCCCTTCAGCTTCCCTGCGCCACAGGCACACGCACAGCAGGCTGGCTAGCATTTGAAAAAGATCAAACTCTTTTCATCTATGTATAGATGTAAAAGAATTCACTTTCAGTTATGATCAACAGCCATAATGTTTTTTCCCCAAGAACATTAAAAGATATTGGACTAGTTCATTTAGTAATGTTGTAAATGGCCTGAATATATATAAATATAGTAAATGAAATGGGCATTGTAATGTGAATTTGCAAATACAAACTGAATCTCTGTGGAATGATTCTACTGTACACTCTTAAAAATAAAGTTTTTTAGAAAATCTTTTTTGGGTTCAACAAAAAATACATTTAATTACACATTTTTTCCCTTAGTGTAAATATCATTTTAATAATCTGAAGAACCCTTTGCCACTTTAAATAGCCTATTGTGTAATCAAAGGTTGCTGCCAATAAAGAACCTGTTATTTTTAAAAGTGTATATACTGTATATTTTAAATGTACTGGATTTTCCTTATCGAATACTGAAATCTGAAAATATAGGTACACAAAGCACTTAAATGCACATGCTTTTTCCTCTGCACTGCAGGCTTTAGTAAATAATTCACTAAAACTCCTGTCACTGAAAGTTCAGCTGAGTATAGAACTGGGCTCATTGCATGCAGTTCTAGTTGTTCTTCTGTGTGATGTCACGTGTGTAGGCATGTTTACTCAATCATATCAATGTGTAATTGTCTTTTAAAGATTAAATATTAATGGGATGTTTTAGTTTAAAATGCATTAACTCCATAATTTTCCCTGTCCAGTTTGGGGAAGTTTAAGGCAAGGATGGGAAACAGTTTCCTCTGTTCCTATAAAAGGGTTGCACCTGTATTGTTCATCACATGTCATATTTATTGGACACTCTAAAGAGCATCTTTCCCACAGACACCACTAGCACTATTATCACAACAAACCCAATATCTCACAACACTCAGACAAAAATATCAGGTCATAAAATGTAAAGAAAGAGGCAATAAAAACATTCCATAAATTATTCAAGAGACAACTTCTGTCACTAACTGATAGTGTAAGCATCTATATGTTGTACTACATGTTTTTCTCAGGAAAACTGCTTTGTTTGCATTTCTTATCTTGCTTGCTACATAATGTTGTGGGTGCTGATTAACATCTTGTGTGACTATGGTGGCTGAAAACACCTCCAGATGGTTTGTGCCTGAAAGATGAGGCTGATCCTCTGAGGGTAAGTTCGCAAGAATAATGTTGATGAAATAACACAAAATAAGATTTAATCACACGGAGTGAAAGTGGACCCAGAGCCAGGCTAGCCTGAAGTAAAATATGCTACTCCTACACAAAAATCCCATTCATTTTCCAGCTTCTCAAACACTCTGGGGTTTGAAGGAGTTCACTGCTGTGAGTGATGGGTGTGGGTGTGGCAACTTGTTACACTAAAATGACTGGAATTTTAGTTTTGTAATGAGCTTGTTTTCCCTTTTGATTTAATGGGCTTTCCAATTGTGTGTGTGTGTGTGTGTGGTCCTGGTATTCTTTATATTATGTATTATGTATACCAAATGTCCCCACAAGTATAGTAATACCAGTACATTTTGTCCTTGTGAGGAGATTTTTTTTTTATGGTCCCCACGAGGAAACAAGCTCATAAATCAAACAGGATTAAGTTTTTTGAAGATCTAAAAATGCAGAAAGTTTTGTGTGAGGTGAAGGTTTAGAGGTAGTGTAA